CCTGGGCAATATCCGAAGAAAGCTCTAATTTGAAAAGACACGTGCACCCCATACCACATGTTCATACCACCACTGTTTACAACAGCCAAGACATAGAAACAACCTAAATGTCCATCAACTGATGCCTGGACAAAGAAGTAGTGGGGTGTGTGTGTGTGTGTGTGTATGTGTGTGTGTGTAATGGAATACTACTCAGCCACAAAGAAGTATAAAATAATGCCACCTGTAGCAACATGGATGGACCTGGAGATTATTATACTAAGCGAAGTAAGTGAGAAAGAGAGAGAAAAAAATACACATGATGATATCACTTATATGTGGAATCTTAAAAAGGTGACACAAATGAACTTATTTACAAAACAGAAATAGACTCACAGATACAGAAAACAAACTTATGGTTACCAGGGGGGAAGGGGGTGGGAAGGGATAAATTGGGAATTTGAGATTTGCAGATACTAATTACTATATATAAAATAGATAAAACAACAAGGTCCTACTGTATAGCACAGGGAACCATATTCAATATCTTGTAGTAACCTATAATGAAAAAGAATATGAAAACAAATTTATGTGTGTATACATATACCTCAAACATTATGCTGTAGCCCAGAAATTGACACAATATTGTGAACTGACTCCACGTCAATTAAAAATAAAACAAACAAACAAACAAACAAACAAACAAAAAGCTTCCCATGTTTCCATTTGCCCCTACCTCTGCCATGAAAAGAACAGAGCCTGGTAGGTTCTGCCTCTCTAGGATGGGTTCTGGAATGAGGCACATGGAGCAGACCTGAATCTGACCCTCGGCCCTGTTTCTCCAGGCTGCACCTGAGCACACGCAACACAGCACTAACGTCAGCAGTTGTGGGAAAAGCCATCATCACCACTCAGAAAACTACAGGGGAGGCAGACGCAGTGGGGAGAAAAGAAGGGCAAGCCTCGGAGGGCCCTGCCGTCTCAGCTGACTGCAGACTCAGAAGCAGAAAATAAAACGTAGCATTGCATAGCACCCAGATGTGGTTTCTCTCACACACACACAAAAAGCTGACGAATCCACCTATTGTGATAAGTAAAAATTGACAGAAATCATTCATGTATCAAAGTAAATAAAACCTCTCTAATCCCACCTCTAAGAAAGATAGCTGAGAATAATGTTTGACATAACTTTCTGTTTTCTCTGGGTTTTGCAAGGGTTAAATAAGAAAATGTATGCAAAAGGCACTTAGCACAGAACGGTCATACGACAGAAGCATTCATTAAACATTAGCTGTTTTTGTTAATATTTCCAAACAGATATACTCAGATATAAGGTTTTTTTAGTTTATGCAAAAATGAGAACAAGCTACAGACATTATTTTGCAGCATGTTTTCTTCACATAACACTGTATTGTGGGCTTTTTTCTCCAGGTCAACTCATTTATTTAAGGGCAATTAACTCATCTTTTAAGATGGCTACATGATATTCCATGGTTTGAATGTTCCGTAATGTATTTCACCTATTCCCATTTTATAGATACAGAAGCCGAGATTCAGAGAACTAAGAAGATGTTCGCCCAAACACTGGCAGCCTCTCCCTATCAGCCCTGTGACACACTCTCAGCCAATCACAGGTGAGCAGAAGTGACCTGTGGGCAAGGCTTTAAGAATTATCCCCTGGTGTCACCTGTCTCTCTTTTCCCTGTGACACACACCAGTGATATCTGGGACGATGTCCACTGCTTCACCCAGGGTCTCAGAGTAAAGAGCTACGCCCTAAATGAGGATGGAAATGTAACATGCACATGGATTAAACTGATGCTGTTTTAAGCTGCTGAAATTTGGGGGGTGGGGGTTGGTTTGTTGCCCCAATACAATTTAGAAAAAGTTAATACAGTGTTCCAAGACTTTCAAGTGTTTGGGTGTTCATTGTTACTGGTTTGGCCAAGCACCAACATACCAGTCAATCAAGATGTGGGTTGACAGAATAATGAGAAACAATTTCCTCCCTAACTTCATTTTTAAAAATTATCAGTAGCCCTCTCTGCTACTGCCAAATCACAAGGCAAAGGAAACAACAGCATCTCAGAAAAGAGAAGTCGAATGACGCAGTGTGGTAGATTGAGGACCATCTTTTGCACATGGAAAGCCTCTTAGGTAGGTCAGGATGAGAACATTGATCCAATTTCTCCAAGTTGCAAACGACATATGCACAAACACGTGACACAGCACTGAAGTCAGTAGTCCCAGGAAAAGCCATCATAGTACTTGTATAAACTGCAGGGGAGGAAGGCACAGTGGAGAGGAAGCCGACTGAATGGGACCGTAGGAAAGCTAACTTTGGCTGCACCGCGTATCAGTTCTGGACCTCAGTTGGCTCAGAAGACTTCTAGGAGGATCTGATAGCACAGCAGGTACAGTCACAATTAAGAAGAATATACACTTACTCTGATTTTTTTTTATTCCAAGTGTAATATATGTTTATTGCAGAAAGTTTTAAAACAGAGAAGCATAAGAAAGAAAACAGAAATTACCCATATATCATAACTGTTGACATCTGGATGGTTAATCAGCCACATTTCCTCCTAGGTAAATGCATGCACATATTCTAGTACAAGGACTTCTGTATGTATTTATTAAGCGTGTACATACATATATTACAAGTTCCTCCTCCCATGTGCATCTTCTTTATTCTTCCTTTCCAGCTTACCTTCTGGTCCCTCCAAACATGGCCCCATCTTCAAGCTCCATATTCAGGCCTTTGGACATGCACTCCCTCTTCCTAGAAGACTCCCTTTCCACTGTCTCCTCTTCTTCTGGCTACTTCTACTCATCCTTGAGGTCTCAGTTTATTCATCCCCTTAATAGAGGACAGTTCTCCGCCACCCTTGTCAGATGTCCCTTCCCTGTGTACCCAGAGCATCCTGTCCTTCTTTCTCATAGCTTTATCATACTCAACTAGTCTTGCCTTATTTCTGTTTTCCTTGTGAGACCCCAGCTCGTGGGCAGGTATGGTAGCTTTTCTTCACCAGTGTTTACCAGTGTCTGGCTCAGAGTAAACTCTCAAAAATTGTTGAATAAATGAACCACATTTAATATGTGCCACCTATATTTCTTCTGAAATCCCCAAAGAACCTGGCATTGCTCAAAAATATCTCCCAAAAGATTAAATATAGAAAAGGATGTAAGATACGGCAACATATCTCATAAAGTCTATAAATTAATTGGGAAGAAAACAAAAGGAAGCATTGGCGTGTCATTAAGTGCCATGCCTTTCACTTCTGCCTCCTCCACTAGTCTTCTTCAAATGAGAAAGGGCAGAACAAAATCCCTAACTTCAGTTTCACATTTATTCTCTCCTTGAGGGTACCCTGCAGCACCAGCTGGAATAAGAAGACACTGGCAGCTCTCTTGTTTATGCTGCAAAATCTCAGTGTTTCAACAGTGAAGTTGATTTTTCATTCAGGCAAAGTACAGCGCAAATAATCCCGGCCTGTGGGCAATCTTCCACGTGGTCATTCAGAGTCCAGGCTCCTTCCACCTGTGGTTCTGCCCTTCTCTGTGTCCCTGACATATAACCAGAAGATGAAGAGAGATGGTTTTATGAGCCAGGCTTTTAAGTGGCACATGTCACATTTACCCCCTTTGCACTGGCTAAAACTCAGCCACATGGTCAGAGGAGGCCAGGAAATGTAGTTGAGCGGCACGCACAGGAGGAAAAGAAAAGGAGTTTGGGGAACAAGTAGTTCTTCTGCCACAAATGGTAAGGAAGTATCGAGTCTTCAGTGATCCCAAGAACAGCTAATTTTGACTTATGGACAGTGAAAACACTTGTTTTGAGAGAATAAGGCCCTAACTAACTAACACTGGCCATGAGAAAATACCATCCCAGGTTTTCAAATGTTGAGAGAATAAAAACGGTCAGTGCCAGAATTGAGAAACAAACCCACTAATGTTGGTGACCACTCTGAAACAAATTCTAAAAGAGAATATTTTAAATGGCTCCTATGAACTTCAAAAATAAAGTGTAACTTGAATAGTACAAGTTACTATGGACTCACTACGAATTAACATCAACTAACCCAATACAGTGTCTGACAGAGAGCAGACAATATGTATTGAATGGATGAATTTCCTTCCTACTTTTAAGGCTACTATCCCATTGACAAATGACTAACTTCAGAAAGTTCTTCCCTAAGTATAGCAGTGTTCTCCTCTTTAACTTCTAACCATTACCCTAGCTGTGATCTCAAAACCTACAGAATAAGTGAACTCTCCCATGTGACAGTTGCACAAGTATCTGGAGACGTCTATCCATGGTCTTATGGTCTTTTTTACCCCTTGGGTATATATTCCCAGTTCCTTCAATTCTTCTCCATGGGACATAGCTTCGGGTTCCTCACCATTTGGCTGACCTTCTCTGAGAGCTCTCAGATTGATCAAAATTACTTCCCACAGTTTCATGTCCACAATGTTCCCAATGAGATCCAACCAGCAGCAGTCAATAGAGTTGTCACTCCACAGCTCTGAAAACCACCAGAAGCATTTTAGTAGTGAAAATGCTGTCCAAAGGATTCCTGCATCGGGAGGACAAGACTTGGAAGATGGCTTCTAAGGACCCTTTTTACTTTATGATCTCATTAGTTTTGTGGCCGTTTTGAGTGTTAAAAAGAGGTCACCATAAGGGGGGAGGGGTGCTGTGTACAACAATTACACACATCTCCTTGACAAGAACCTAGTCCATACATGCTCTGCAGCAACACAATTCACTTACTCACTTGTATTTCAATTTTCTTTATCTCTGCTTGTTTACTCCACTTGTGATGTGCACACATATAGCCAAGCCGATGACCTTAAAAAAAAAAGAAAGAAAGAAAAAGAAAAAATTGGGCGGCAGTGGGGAAGACACTGGAATACTCCGAAATTGAAAACCAGTCTCAAGCAAATGAGAACTAACTTTGTGGAGAGTTGATTCAAGAGAGGGACTTCCACAGGGGCTCTGATGTATAAGAAAGATTCACTGACCACCCTGTAGGTGCCAAGCACCATGCTAGATGCTGTGGGTACAGTAAAGACCTAAAGATATGCCTACCCTGCCCTCTTGACGCTTGGCTTCTGGTAGGCAAGCAGATCTTAAAAAACCAAAACGAGTGAAAAACAATTGCTCTCTCTTCTCATAATGAATCTGTCCACAGAGTGTATACACTCACTGTTCATTTGGAAAAGGTCTGCAATTGCCCACCTTTGCCAGGGACCAGTGGGTAAGCTCAATTCAGGGGGAAACATGAGGAAATCTATCGTGGTCCCATGTCTGCCATGCCTTCCAATCTATCCTATACCAGCTCTCAGGGTGATCTTGCAATACCCATTCATCTGATTCCTGAGTCTAACTTTCAGCTGGTTCTGAACTCAAGAGGGAAAGAAAGAAGTATTATTGATCACCCTGCTAAAATCCCAACTGCCATAAAGAAAAAAACATAGGGACTTATGGAAAAGTAGAAGAGGAGAACTAAATTTAGATGGGGATGGGGTGGTACAAAAGCAAGCCTCTTTATGTGTCACTGAAACTAACATCCAAAAAAACAGAAATTGACCAAGGAAAAAGGAAGAGGTGGGAGGGCTCATATAAAGGTTTACAGACAACAAACAGTTCATTTCATTTGAGGAACTGAAGAAGTCCAGTGTGGGGGTCATTAGGACTGGTCCCGAAAAACTTGCAGCTCTCTGCCTTCCAGGCAAATAGGATTGCATGTCCTGGTCAACTTGTGTCTGGGTGGGGCCATGAGACTAGTTTTAGCTAATGCACTTTAAGAAGTGACATGTGACATTCTCTGGCAAAGGTACCTAATTGCCCGGCTAAAACCCTTCAGATCTCCCTTTCCCTCTCCCACGAGATCTGTAATATTCCCGAAAGTGGGGGCTACAACAGGCTGGGTCCCAGAGGAAGGCAAAGTAAGGAGAGTCCCTGCCAACCCTTGATGGACACTGAGCAGGAGCAAGACCCAAAACTTTTTTGTCTTAAGTCCCTGAGATCTGGAGTTGGTTTTTCACTGTAGCATAAGCTAGGCTCTCCCAACTGATACAGTCATAGCCAGCGTGGTTGCAGAGCAGTGAGGGGAAAAGTAGGAGCTGTTTCAGACTGGTGAGGTCGGAAAGCCCAGATCATGTGAGATCTTCTAGGCAAAGTAAAGGATTTGGGTTTTCTCCCAAGTCCAGTACGATGTGCTTAGGGAAGGTCCAGCAGGGGAATGACGTGTTCCAAGTTTTACGTATTGAAACAAGTTACTATTGCTATTTGACTATTAAAACACCCCCTTAAATTCCACTTAAGAAAAGGACATTTTTAAGAAATCCAACAGCAAGTATTTATTGAGTACCTTCTATCCTTCTTCATGCCAGGGACTGTATTAAACATCGGAAATATGGAAATGAATAAGACACAGTTCCTGGATTTGGAGTCAGGGTTGTAAGAAGACATTTACAAGAACACATGATGAACATTCTTAGCTTCAGGTATGTACCATGTGATGAGATCCAAAGATAATACCTGTTTGAGGGGAGGGTGGAAGATAGGGTAGCAGAAAGCTTCAGAAGGAGCAATTATTTGAGCAGGGTCTTGAAGGGTGAGTAGGAGTTTGCCAGGTTGTGTTTTGATTAAGGATGAAAGTAAATGGAAAGACAGGAAAATGTCAGAGGTATGGAAAATGTCTAGGGTAGCTGAGACTCATAAGAATGGGAGGAATGTGCAGTGTAGGGTGTGGTACATGGTATTACTATTTGCAAATACTTGCTGCCCCTCCCCACCGACAACAGGCTTGGCCACATGAACTGCTCTTAGCAGAAGCTTTAAGCACCACGTTCTTTTCTCTCTACTGTGACAATCAGCAACATTTCAGAAAAGGTCCCAGAATAAAGATGATATGTGTGAAGCACAGACACAACCAACTCATAATGGGCATGCAGCATGAATGAGAAATAATTCCACGGTTGTCATTTAATACCATTATTGGATTGCTACCCTAGTGTAACTTGCCCTATACAGGGGTGTGCATTTCCAGCTCTTGACTTCCAGGCACAGAGTAGGAATGTACTTTTCTGCACCTCTGAAGTTAGATGTGGTCATTCGACAAGTTTTTGACCAATACTAGGAAAACACAAATAGTGCCTGTCATTTCTGGGAAGAAGGTTTTAAAGCCCATAGGAATTCACCGTGCTTTCTTTTCCCCATTAAGGTGATTAGGATGCTTGTGGAAGCACACGTATTTCAAGATGAAATCTTGGGACTCTGTCTCTGAGTGAGTACATTGAGAAAAGCCCTTCTGACCTCAGAGATGCAGTAGGAACAAGAAACAAAGTATTTTTTGTTAAGCCATTGAGATATTAAGATCGTTATGATGGTAAACCTAGCATATCCTGACTGATACAAAAATCGGCACCTAAACAGGGGGTAATGTAATAACAATAACAATAAAAGTAAACATTTGTTTAGAGGGCAGTAACTAAGAACACTGTTACCAGAAGATTAAGGGATGGTGATCTATTTGGTGAATATATCACCCGTGATAATTTAGAAGGCATATCATGAACCTAATGAACTAAAGCAAGAGATTGTAGAACAAAATGTTCACAGCAAGTGTTGGTGGCTGTCAGATGCATTTAGAAACTTATCACAAAAAAGAGATGAAGTCAGAGAAGATCTGGCCAGTTTGCAAAGTGGGAATGAAGGAGAGTGGGACAATCTAGAAATTCAGAGATATGCAGGGTCAGAGGAGGTTACTTTTTCTCCATTTTATATAGTAAAATATAAAATTAAGAAAGGTTTTCAGCAAGAAAAGGCCAACTAAAGTCAGCCTTATGAAGTATGGCTCCAGTCAAAAGTATGGCCGCAAACCATTATTAAAACCTCTGGATAAATCAAGATGTTACCCAGCATATGCTTTGAAGAGGTATCCGGGAAAGGGGAGGAAAAGTATGACTCTCCCATCCAAGCCCAATAAGCCCAAAGCACTCTAAACCAAGTCGGGACAGAGAAGGAGAGAATATGCTATGAATGAAAGAGAGAGAGAGAGAATAGCAGGCAGGAGAGCAAGAAAGCAAAGAAATATGGAAAACCATAGAAGCATGTCTAGAAAGGAACTGGCTCTGGCTGTTGGCACTTGGACCACCTAGAATCAAACAGATCAAATAGATAAGAAGCCTGCATTCTGGGGAGAGCTGCACTGCCAAAAGAACATCAGCCTGGATTACAGGAGACTGCACTTGAGACTTAATATCACTCTGTTCCCCCACCCCACTCCAATTTTTAAAAGCTGATTTTAAAGCCTATTTCCCTATGCCTGCTTTAGATGAAGAGAAGGAAGACACTCAGATGGCAAAGCCAGGGATCACGGAAAACAATGACTAGGGCAGCTACACACAGGGAGCAGAATCAGCTCTAATCAGGGTGTGGGTCCTCAACACGTCTGCTCTGTGGATTAGTGTCCACTGTGGTCTCCCGTTCCTTCGCTTGCCAATCGGTGTGTCCATCACAGCTATCCTCCCTCTGTCCCGCTGTTATCTACTGAGGGTGTGCAGGGTAGACATCTTGCGTCTGGATGAAGAGTCACATCTGGAGCTGATATAGAGTCTACTATGTGTCACCTAGGACTTGGACAGTGAGCTTGATATCCTGTGACTAGATAGGTCTTTGGGGTCATCCCCCTGGAGGAGAGAGTGAGGGAATTCTGCCCATGGGAGGACAGTAAGCCAAACATTTGGTGAACAGAAAGGGAGACTGTTCAAGTTACTCGTGTCGTTCCCCCAAATATTCCTGGCTCTCTCCCTTCGAGACATTTGGCAGGGTTACAGAGATTTAAAGTTAGGCATGGCCACGTGACTTGCTCTGGCCAGTGATGTGTGAGGAGGAGGGCCGTGTGTCACTTCCAGGTGGATGCTTGGAGAGCCAGTGAATGATCTGCCGCCTTCTCTCCCTTCAGCCCCTTAGCCAAGACAATAATGAGACATGCATCAAGAGGAAGCCTTCAGCCCAAGTCCACAGTGAACAGAACTCCTCTGCAGACCCACAGTGGGGAGGTAGCATGAGCAAGAAATAAACTTCCCTGGAGTAAGCTGCTGAGATGGTAGGGTTGCTTGTTAGGGCAGCACAGTTCAGCCTTTCCTGACCGATACTAGAAGTGAGAGAGAGGGCTGCAGAGCAGGAGCTAGGCTGTAAAAGGCCCCTCCTCCCACGCAGAGGCATCTGAACCCTCTCCTGGTTGTAAGGGGAAGCCAAAGAAGGCTTCCAAGCATGGGCGTTAACATGAACAGATCTGTTATTTTTTGGATGAAAAATGCTATTTCTCAACATAAGGAGAAAATCAGCCTACTAAACCACATAAGGCAGAGAGGAACACACAGAACCCTTAGGCAAAATATATATATTTATATAAAGTCCTAAGTCTTGAAGTTTCTAAATACAGAAGCTCTGAAAAGAGGCTCTGAAAGAAGTTACAGAGGATTGGGTAAGACAATGTCTTCCATCCCACCATCTAAGCACCATTTCCTCTGCAGACAACCAATACTTTACAAGGAGGGCTCCCAGAGCAGAGAAGATATAAAAGGGGAATGTAACACACACCTGAAATCAATTTCCAGCTGCCTGTATGACTGAACAAGATACTTAACCTTGTTGGTCCTGGTGCCTTAAATATTAAATCCGGATGATAATAGATGCAGCCCAAGATAGGTGTGGGGAGAAAGAACTTATATAAATTGCTCAGGTGAATGTCTGGCTGATAATAGGTGTTTAATACATGACATTCATTTTTATTACTGTTATCATTAAAATTATCTAAAATACCAGCTCCCTGATTACAAAAGAAAATGATTTAGGGCAACAGTATAGAGGAGATCGTTCCCTCCTTGAGGAAACTGGTTCTTGTCATCGCTGTACCCCTACCCCCACCCCAGCTGACTGCCTGGCTCACAGTAGCCTGTCTTCCTCTGCTGCATGAGGGAATGAGAGGCAAGTGCCTGAAGTAAAGAAAAGTTGTCAAGATTTCCCTGACACCAGCTGCTGTTGGGCTGCTGAAGCTGAACTTTCAAAGCCACAAATACCTTAAACCTCTGGGCTATGAACCCAAGGCTAAATTCCCCCAAGTTCAGAAACTGCAAAGCCAGAATTAGAACCTAGGAACGTAAACTGCTGCAGGTCTAACCTCAAGCCCCACTCGTGGAGAAAACCCTGGAAGGAGCTGACTTCTGACCCTTTTCTCCCTCATCCTCCTGCCCTCACCGCTCCTCACAGAATAAGTACACCTGGTCCCTGCCAAGTCACACTCTTACATCCTGGCATCCATAGAGGTTCTGGGAAACTCCGAGTGAGGACAGGGAAGGGGGCTGTTGGAGACCACCTCCTAGCCCTGGAGGCGATGACGCTGCACTAACTCAGCCCAGCGAAGTGGGTCTCACCCGCTCCTCTTGCAGATTACGGAACTGGAGCTCGAAGAAGTTCTGTGATTTGCTCACTTCACGCCGTGGCAGCGCCAGCCACGACAGCCACGATTCCCGACTCTGGTATTCTTTCCCCCATCCACTTTTGTCCCTAAGGGGTGCGGGGCTGGGGGAGGATAAAATAACAACCACAGGAAAGGAACCACTTACATGTGTCTAGCGCTTCCTAGAGGCTACCGAAGATATGAGCCCACCACCCGAACGGGAGCGGACAAATTTTAAATCTTGGTTCTCCCCCTAACTCACTGCGAGACTTCTAGCAAGTGTCTTCTGCTCTCGGACTTGTTTTCCCCGGAAGCAAATCAGGGCGGGAGGAGTGGTGTGTGCGTGTGCATGTGTGTATGTGTACGTGTGATGTGTGGTGTGCCTCTGCATGTTGTGCGGGGGCGGGGAGTAGACGATCACCGGGGTTCCCCGAGTTTCAGATTCCCTAAACGCTTGTTTCCAACTGGACGCCTAGTTGCCCCTCTAATTCCATCCCCTGTAAGAAACCTCCTCTCCGAGACGAAGCTGTGAACCCCCGCACCCTTTCTCCCACGGTCGGAAGGGTGAAGTAGGGGTGCAGCGGGAACTTAGCTGAACACCCAGTTTCAAGCAATGCAAATCACTGGGCTTCCAGGGGCAGCCAGACAGCGGCGCGGACAGTCGCTCATGAACTTGACCTGAAGACAAACTTAAGAATGTTCTCAACGTGGGGGGCCGACTCTCGCGAACCGCCCCTCAACTGAAGTCGACTTTCACTCGCCCCCACCGGGGACTTCGCAGAGCCACCTTAAGGGCGGTGCTCCCGGCCCCCGGAAGTGCGGGGGGGGGCAAGGACCCGGGCGCTCAGCCCGCCCGCCCAGCGCCGCGGGGAAGTGCCCGCGGGAGACAGCCAGCCCCCCAAGCAGGGAAAGACCACCAGCCCCGCCCTCGGCCCCAGACAGCTCGCCAGCTTCCCGGGCCTTCTGGGTCACCGCAGCCCCTGCCTTCCCGGCCCGAGCCCTGAACTTAAGCCCGCCTCCTTCAGAGGCTGCGAGCGCCCATGTCCGCCCGGCTCGCGGCAGCCACCGTCACTAGACAGTCAAACCCCAAGACGTCAGCCCACAATGCACCGGGCGGGCCGGGAAAGACGCGCCGGGAAGGGAGGGGACGGGAGGAGAGGGGAGCGAGTCGCGCGGAGGGGGAAGGGGAGGAGGAGAAAGAAGGGCCCAACTGTAGGAGGGCAGCGGAGCATTACCTCATCCCGTGAGCCTCCGCGGGCCCAGAGAAGAATCTTCTAGGGTGGGGTCTCCATGGCGACGGGCGGGCCCGCCCCCCTGAGAGCGACGCGAGCCAATGGGAAGGCCTTGGGGTGACATCATGGGCTATTTTTAGGGGTTGACTGGTAGCAGATAAGTGTTGAGCTCGGGCTGGATAAGGGCTCAGAGTTGCACTGAGTGTGGCTGAAGCGGCGAGGCGGGAGTGGAGGTTCGCGGACTCAGGCAGGCAGACAGACACAGTCAGTCGGGATAGCAGTAGAGTCCGAGCTGCAGATACTATTTTCTTTTCCATTTTCGCTCCGACGGCCCGGAGCTAGCGCCTGTGGCTCCCGGGTTAGTGTTTCGGGGAGCTCCAGGAGAGCCCCTTCTCCAGCCGCCCCCAGGAGGAGAGCCCCGCTGCCGGGGCGCTGCTGACAGCTCGGAGAGCGGCCACCGTCCGCCCGCCCGGGGAAGCACGGAGAGCGGCTGCAGCGGCAAGAACTTTCCCGGCCCGGAGGACAGGGGACAAGTGGTCGCCGGGTCCCGGAGCGAACTTTTGCAAAGCTTTTTTCCTCCGCCCGAAGCTGCCGCGGCGGCGGTAAAGAAAAGGAGGCGGCGGCCGAGAGGAGAGAAAGAAGGAGACCTACGCGACGCTCCGCTTCGCTCGCACCGGTTGCTGAACTTGGGCGAGCGCGAGCCGCGGCTGCCGGGCGCCCCCTCCCCCTCGCAGCGGAGGAGGGGATAGTCGTTCGAGTAGGGGCGGCGGAGATCCGCCGCCGGCCGGCCACCAACGGGAAGCGAGTTCGTCTGCCGGCTGCGAGGGAGCTCTGCGCCCGAGAGCGCTCCGTGAGTGACCGCGATTTTTCAAAGGCGGGCGGCGCGCGCGAGCGGACAAGGAAGAGTGCGGGCGGCTCCTTAACCCTGCGGTCTCTGGAGCGAGCTGGTGAGGAGGGCGCAGTGGGGAGGCCAGCCGGCAGAGGCGCGCGCTCTTAGAGCGACTTTCCTTGCCCAAGGCCCCGGGAGGCGCGAGGGTCCCCCGTTTGCCAGCGCGCTGTTGCGACCCCGAAACTTCTGCGCGCAGCCCCAAGTAACCTCACGTGAAGTGACGGACTGTTCTATGACTGCAAAGATGGAAACGACCTTCTACGACGATGCCCTCAACGCCTCGTTCCTCCAGTCCGAGAGCGGCGCCTACGGCTACAGCAACCCCAAAATCCTGAAGCAGAGCATGACCCTGAACCTGGCAGACCCGGTGGGCAGCCTGAAGCCGCACCTGCGGGCCAAGAACTCCGACCTCCTCACCTCTCCCGACGTGGGGCTGCTCAAGCTGGCGTCGCCCGAGCTGGAGCGCCTGATCATCCAGTCCAGCAACGGGCACATAACCACCACGCCGACCCCCACCCAGTTCCTGTGCCCCAAGAACGTGACGGACGAGCAGGAGGGCTTCGCCGAGGGCTTCGTGCGCGCCCTGGCCGAACTGCACAGTCCAGAACACGCTGCCCAGCGTCACGTCGGCGGCGCAGCCGGTTAGCGGGCGCTTGGTGCTCGGCGTGCTTCGGTGGCGGGCGGCAGCGGCAGCGGCGGCTTCAGCGCCAGCCTACACAGCGAGCCGCCGGTCTACGCCAACCTCAGCAACTTCAACCCGGGCGCTCTGAGCAGCGGCGGCGGGGCGCCCTCCTACGGCGCGGCCGGCCTGGCCTTTCCCGCGCAGCCCCAGCAGCCGCCGCAGCAGCCGCCACAGCCGCCGCACCACCTGCCCCAGCAGATCCCCGTGCAGCACCCGCGTTTGCAGGCCCTGAAGGAAGAGCCGCAGACGGTGCCCGAGATGCCCGGGGAAACGCCGCCCCTGTCCCCCATCGACATGGAGTCCCAGGAGCGGATCAAGGCGGAGAGGAAGCGCATGAGGAACCGCATCGCCGCCTCCAAGTGCCGGAAAAGGAAGCTGGAGAGGATCGCCCGGCTGGAGGAAAAAGTGAAAACCTTGAAAGCGCAGAACTCGGAGCTGGCGTCCACGGCCAACATGCTCAGGGAACAGGTGGCCCAGCTTAAACAGAAAGTCATGAACCACGTTAACAGTGGGTGCCAACTCATGCTAACGCAGCAGTTGCAAACGTTTTGAAGCGAGACTGTCGGGGGCTGAGGGGCAACGGAGAAAAAATATTAACAACACGGAGAGACAGACTTGAGAACTTCACAAGCTGAGAAAGAGAAAAAGAAGTGTCCGAGGACTAAAGCCAAGGGTATCCAAGTTGGACTGGGTTGCGTCCTGACGGCGCCCCCAGCGTGCACGAGTGGGAAGGACTTGGCGCGCCCTCCCCTGGCGTGGAGCCAGGGAGCGGCCGCCCGCGGGCGGCCCCGCTTTGTGGACGGGCTGTCCCCGCGCAGACGGAACGTTAGACTTTTCTTTAACATTGACCAAGAACTGCATGGACCTAACATTCGATCTCATTCAGTATTAAAGGGGGAGGGGAGGGGGTTGCAAACTGCAATAGAGACTGTAGATTGCTTCTGTAGTACTCCTTAAGAACACAAAAGGGGGTGGGGGAGGGGAGGCGGGAGGGAGGTTTGTGCGAGCGAGGCCGAGCCTGCAGATGAACTCTTTCTGGCCTGCCTTCCATAACTGTGTATGTACATATATATATTTTTTAATTTGATGAAAGCTGATTACTGTCAATAAACAGCTTCATGCCTTTGTAAGTTATTTCATGTTTGTTTGTTTGGGTGTCCTGCCCAGTGTTGTTTGTAAATAAGAGATCTGGAGCACTCTGAGTTTACCATTTGTAATAAAGTATCTAATTTTTTTATGTTTTGTTTCTGAAAATTCCAGAAAGGATATTTAAGAAAATACAATAAAATATTGAAAAAGTTACCCCTCCCCCAACCTCTTTTCTGCATTATCTATGGATTACTTATCCTGGTGGAGTTGAGAGAGTTGAGTGTCAGTTAAAATCACCCAGTGCTTCTTACTGTCAAGCAGTAAAAACTCGTCTACTGGACTTGAGAAATAACTAGCTGAAGCTCTCATCAAGTTATACTATTCCCTCCCCAACAATCTATATAGAGTTGTTTACAAAGGCTAGTGTGGCATTTCAGGAGGCTGAGGGGAGGGAGGTTGTGGTGGAGAGGGACAGTACGTTGGGAAGTCAAACATTTTAAAGTTTGAATGATATCAAGTGGCATGTGCTGTGACCATTTATAATGTTAGTAGAAAACAATAGATGCTTATTCTCAAAACAGGAACGGTGGCAGATTTTTACAAAAGATGTATCCTTCAATTTGGAATCTTTAATAATTCCTAGATAAAAGAGATGGTCTTTGCTTATGAATATTTATGACAGCATTCTTGTCACAATAAACTATTTAAATACCAATAACAGATCTTGAATTCCTTTCCCTTTACTACTTTTTTCTTCCCAAGCCCTGTTCTGAAGCTTTTCTTTTCAGTTGCTGCAGTTAACATTACTGGTAATTAAGTTACTTGGTAATTAAGAAGCAAAGAATTTAGGAAAAGTCAACACAGAAGTTAACAATCTGGAGAAACATTCTCCTAGCTTCATTCATTGTCATTCTCTCTCTCTCTCTCTCTCTCTCCTGTCTTTCCACACCCCCACCTTCCTGAAATAAACACCTATGCCTAGACAAATTACTAGTATAGCACTTTAACATTTCAGATTATTCTATAGTTTCTTAATTTGTTTCTAAAATAGTCAACCTTGTTCAAATAATAATTATAGGATCTGTCTCAAAAGATAGTAATCTAGATACTATAAAAAGGTTTGCAAGGGAAAACATGAACACCAACATAATATTACATATGTAAATCAAATCTTCACTCTGGGGAAATGGCAGGCTTAAATTCTGTCTACGGGTGTAACTTAGGAGCTCAACAAGGCAGTACTC